TCAAGAAAGGAGTGACAGTGTTTCAAGCTTCTTGCAAGGAAGATTTCCCATGAGCCCTCTTCTGGGGTTTTTGTTGCACACACACAGAGCACCCCGCATTTGCCCAGCAAATGTTTAGGCAATGTATTTACCTTAGAGCAGTACAAACTGAGGGGGTTTCTGGACAGGATCACCCCCAGCCATCATGCCAAGATTATCCCAAGAGCACAGTCAGTCCCTGTGAGCAGCTCCAAAGGTGACAGGCTGGAACCACACCAGAGGGTTCAGAGCTGCTCAGAGCTGTCTCTGAGCACAGCACAGACTTGACCATCATGATGGCAGAGCCCCAAAGGTGTCTTGCTGCCATGAGTTCACAGCTCACTGAAAGACATAAACTGGTGATGGCACATAGTGGTGGGCAAGAATCCACTGCTTTCCTCAGGAAAGGCCTGGGGAATTATGGCTTTCACTGCATCAGCCCCATGTCCACAGACACAGAGCACCTTGCCCCAGTTGGGTGGAGAACCATGTAAAGGCTGGGAGAGATCTTGAACAGGATCAGCCTATAGGACCTTAAGTATTTATTTATGTAAGACAGTGCTGATGCCTCTTAGTGCTTTATATCAACCTTGAACAGATTCTCAGCCTGCTCTGTGCTGAGCTTCCACCAAAGGACATAGGCCTCGGTTGAAATCCCAGCATGCAGAGGCCAGAGATCCCAGGACACAGAGGTCAGAAATTCCAGGGACTCTAGGTCAGAGATCCCAGGGACTCTGGACTGTTTTAGGCACCCACTTCAAGGTCACCCAAGGCCCCTGCAGAAGACACATTTCAACGTAGCACAGCCATTTCAACAACATTTCAAAAGCACAGCCTTCCTGAGGCTGGGAGCTCAGTCATACAGTCACCTTCACTAAAACCTGGGCTGAAGCCACCCCCAAACACCGTGCATATCCTCACATTTCAGCCTTTGCTTCCATTTCCAGGAGCTGATAAAGCACCTCCAAGGTGAAGACCAGAAAAAAAACCCTGTAAGCAAGATCAACATGCTGTTGCCCTTTCCACTGCGCTTCAAAGCTACAGTCAAGCAAACACTGTTTCTTTTCCTCCTTTGTGCTGTGAAACAGTGCTCACAGATACCTCAGACACAATGTTATTTGAGCTGTATCTAAGCAAAGCCAGGATCACTCATTTACTGTCAGGACTTGAATGAAACAAGAAATTGCTTTCCAGCTCCATCCCACTCTCTCCTTCCCTCGGGAGAGTCTTCTCAGCCTGAAAGGAACTGCTATGCAAGTGCATTAAAAGTCCTATTTCAGCATTTCTTTCATAGTAGAGGCCTCTTCCAGCCAGCTCTTGGGATCCTGCCAACAGACATATCAGCCACTAGTGCTTCAATCCTTCTGCTAAAAAACGCTTCCCTAAAGAGCTTGCACCCCACTTCTGAATGCCTGAGATCATCACAATTAACCAGCTTCAACAAGGGTTTAAGACAGGTTCTTCTCCACTCCCATGGGTTTAATGGTGCACTACACAGCCTTTTCTCCCCTTGGTCTGGCCCCCACTTAGGAAGGAGCAGCTTCCACACAGTTCCAGTCAGGAAATAAATGTCAGGTGTTACAAAAGGAAGGGAGGACCAGCTGCTTTGAATGATGCATTCAGGGGATCCAAAAGAACATGGCACTTATCAGATACTTCTGAAATGCCCAGCATCTCTCCATCTTTAAGAGACTGGCTCTGTTGTGTGATGACTTCATTGACAAATTTCTTAAACTTGGGGAAGGATCAAGCTTGCTTCTGTGCTCCCAGAGTGCCCAGCAAAATTGAGATTTTAAGTCCTGTCTGTATGAATTAGTTGTCATGGCTGATATTAAGAATAACTCATTGGAAAAGCTACTCCTGGATCAAGATCATCTCTGAAAACACAGTTTAGGGGTCTTTACTTATTATCTCCTTGTCAAAATGAACATTTCTAACATGTAAATACAACAGGCATGGGAGAAAGACAAGCCTATTGTAAGTGTCTGACAAAGGATCTAAATGTTCTTCTTGTTCCTGGAGAACAGAAAGCACACACAGAAGTTGTCTTTGCAGACAAAATGTCCCAAAAGCTTTCCCAGGCAGTGAGATGGGGGCAGTACTGAAAGCAGCAGCACTTTGGGACTCTCCACATGCACTTGTGCTCTACAAGGAACGCTGCACTTTGGATCTGAGCTGATAAACAGGGAGAATCTTCTGTGTGGACTGCTGGGACATGGACGTGCTGAAGGCCAGCCCAGGCTTCAGCACACAACCTTCTCACCCACGCAGGCAGAGTGGTCCCAGCAGAGCCATAAATCCTCCCTCTGCTTTTTGCATCCCTGGCCACTCCAGCGCCCTTTGTTTTCAGTGCTTTCTCTTCCGTTTCTCAAAAAGGCGCCTTTTTACCCTGGGAAATCCTGTGGCTTTCCTCTCATTTCCATACTTACCATTCTCAGTTGTTTCCAAGCCTGACCCAACATAGTAGTTATCATTTTCACGGGCTTGGATTATTTTGAAAACCCAAACAACAACCAAGCAAAACTCCTCAAACCCAACATGCACCAAACAAACACTACCCCAATGACAACAATTCAGAACACAACACGAGGGTGGAGGAAATGCATTCCTTTCCTCTGCCAGGATGCAGTAACAACTCCCTTTTTGGTGGTTCAGAAAACAGGGCCAGTACACATTATTGGACCTCACTATGACACACCAAGAACCAGCAGTCAGTAAGTTGGCAGCCAACACAGAAAACAGCTTTTTAATCCACCACCAACACCAGCAGCTCCCCTCACAGCAGCAAATAAAGGCCCCATGGAAATCCCTTTGGTCATCTCTGTCCTCCCAGCTGAGCTCCAGGCTGGAGATGCTCTTCTCCAAAAGCAAAAAACTTAAACAACTACTTAAATGGCAAGAGCAAAGGTGGCTGGGAATAACTCAGGGTCAGGAGCAACTTGCTGACCTGTCTTGGAAACAAGATGTGTTCTTGTAAAGAGCAGAATTAAGGGCCCATGTTAGCACTTAGTCCCTGCACCTGTGAGGAGGCTCCAGTGCAGATCCAAGCAGTCAGAAAGCCTCAGTCCCCCATGACCATCACATTTCCAGCACCAAGCATCAAGCGACATGCTTACTGGACACTCAAAAAGCCAAAACCTCTAAAAGTGTCCCAAATACACCTCGTATGGTTTTGCGTCCCAGTTTGCATTTGACACCTTGGGACTACAACAGCAGCCAAGTGTAACTTCTTGTTCCCTTCCCAAACAACATTCCCTTCTACCAGCTCCCTGTCAATTAGCGCTCATCATCCTTGGGTACAGGATCAGGAAGGCAAGAAAGCGTTTTTCTGCCGGGACAGGTGAATACTCCCACCGATCCCCACCGGGAGTCAGAAATGCCACCCTGATAAGCCACAGGCTGCACACAACTGCAGGCGCTCCAGGGAAAGCAGGAAAGCAGGCTATCCAGGGCAGAGAGAGAGAAGTGCAGGGCCAATATCACACGGGGATTCGGGAGTTTGCCGAACTGAGAGCTCTGGCTGTTAGCTCCGGCAGGGCCCGGGCTTCCCCCAAAGAATGTGCTTAGCGTTTCCTCCTCTGTTTTGTGCTGGAGACCGAGGCAGGGCTGAGTTCACTCAGGGGCCCCGTGCTGGGTGGCGGGGCTGCCGCGGCTCCTCCGCCCCACCGCTCCCGGCCCGCTCGGCTCAGCTTTTCAGCAGCGGCCCCCGTCTTCCCTCAGCCCCGGCCGAGCCCCGCTCCGGCAGCGGGCCCGGCCCCCCGCGCCCGGCGGGAGCAGCAGCCGCCCCGTCCCGGCGGGAAAGCGGCTCCCGGTGCCCGGGAGCGCGGGGGGACTCGGCTGGCGGCCCCCGCGCTCCCTCCCTGCAGCCGGGACGAAGAAAAGCCAAGTTGGGGCGCGGAAGGGAAGAGGGAATTTGGGATTTTTTTTTGGAGCGGCACCTCTGCCCGCTGCTCTATCGCGTTAGCGTTCTCTCGGCGCCTCCCTACCTTCCTCGGCGGCGGCAGCGGAGCGGGGGGGCCGTGTCCCGGCATGACGGCGGCGGCACCCGGCGCCGGGCTGGCGGCTGCGGACCCGCGGCTGGGGGCTCCCGCCCGCCCCCCGCCGCCACCGGCCCCGGCCCCGGCCCCGGCCCCGGCCCCGGCCGCCCTCCGGCGGGAGCGCCGCCCCGTCCCGTCCCGTCCCGCCCCGCCGCCCAGGCGGCCGCGCCCGCCCCTCGCTCCGGGCATGGAGCGCCTGAGCTGCCCGCTCGGGGGCGGGAACGGGGGCTGCCGGTGTCAGCGGGGCAAACCGGAGCGGAGGGAAAAGCCGCCGTTCTGGTTGCAGACGGAAAGATTTGCGGGGAAACGTAGAAAGTCCTGACTTGCTATCAACCCGGTGCGTGTCCCCGGCACGGCTCCCCGAGGCTGATGGGGTCACAGAGCCATCGCACCTGGGAGAGCACCTGGCCAGCAATGCCTCAAACCTGCAACACGAGTTCTATCCCTTGATCTGAGATTGGTATTAGGGAAAGGGGCTTCACCCAGGGGCTGGTCGGACAGTGGAACGGGCTGCCCAGGGCAGTGGGCACAGCACCAAGTCCGACAGAGCTCAGGAAGCGTCGGGACAACGCTCTCACGGTGCGACACTTGTGGTGTCCTGTGCAGGGCCGGGAGCTGGACTCCAGGATCCCGACGGGTCCCTTCCAGGACATTCAGGAAATTCAGTGTTGTTGCTATGATTCAGAACTGATGGAGGGGTGAAGGCCCCCGGCCCAAGCGCGGCCCCTTCCCGCCTGTCCCCGTCCAGCACAGCCCGATCCTGAGGGGACAGCCCGGGCACGCGCCTCCCTCACGGCACTCGCGTTCCCGCCGGGCTCTCGCCGCTGGCCCTTTAAGGGGCGGGGCGCCGCCGCGCTCCGGGGCGCTGATTGGCTGGGCGCGCCCCCCTCCCGCCCCCTGCCCTCGGCGGGGGCGCGCGCGGTGGCGGCGGCGGGAGCGCGCGCGATGGTGGCCGGCGGCGCCGCGCGGCTGCTCCCGCTCCCGCTGCTCGCGCGCGCCGCCGCGCTCCGGCTCCGGCCGGCGCTGCCCGGGCGGGCGGGCGCGGGGCGCTCCGGGCTGTGCGGCGGCCGCTGGGCCGCCCTGGCCCTGGCCGTGCCCGCGGCCGTGCCCGCCGGCACCGGCTGGAAGGAGAGGCCGGGGCAGCGCGGCCCGGCGTGGGCGGCGGAGCGCGGCGCGGAGCGGCCGCCCCGCGGGCTGCTGCGGCGCCTGGGACTGGTGCTGCGGCTGGGTGTCCGCGCCTGCGGGCTCGTGCTGCGCTTCGGGCCGCTGCTGCTGCTCTACCCGCTGGCCTGGCTCTGGCCCGGCTTGGGCGCCCGCTGGCTGCGGCTGCTGCGCAGGGCGGCCGAGGCCGCCGGCCCCACGTGTGTCAAGCTGGGCCAGTGGGCCAGCACCCGCAGGGACCTCTTCTCGGAGGCCTTCTGTGATGAGTTTTCCAAGCTGCACGTCGAGGTGAGCCCGCACCCTTGGGGCCACACCGACGAGCTCTTGAGGAAGGCCTTCGGGGAGGACTGGACGGGCATCCTCAAGTTCCCGAGCCGGGAGCCCGTGGGCTCGGGCTGCGTTGCCCAGGTGTATAAAGCCTATGCTGACCTCGCCGCCATCGGCGGCTCCCGGGCCCGGGAGCTGGAGCAGCGCTCGGAGCTCAGGTCCGCCTTTGAAGCGTGGGAAGTGTCAGGCTTTAGAGGCCTCCTCGGGTGGCTGAGGAGGAGGAAGAGCAAGGAGATACGGGATGAGAGGAGCAGGGAGGAACTGAGTTCTGCAGGCTGCTCCCAGGGAAGTTCCGAGAGTAGGATGTCCCTTACGGAGCAGAGGGCCAAGCCACTCCCGAATGCAGATCCGTCATCAGCCAGACATCTCGTGCCTGTAGCCATTAAAGTAAGTCATGTGCCGAAACGGTAGCGGTATGAACATGGAGCTTGCTGGACAAGGTCCGTCAGATTTAACTCCCATGGAGTGGAGTAGCTGGCCAGGGCCAGGTGGAACAAAAGGGATGCTGTCTCTTCCGGTGTCCTTTCTCAGTGCTTTTGTTCCAGGCAGCCACTATTCCCAGCTCTTGCCAAACGGAGAGCTCAATATTTGATGTGGCATGTGGGTACTAGGAATCCCTCCAAAGGGCCCAATTTACATTAAAAGAATTAGCATTAATGTTACTTGCACCTTCCAGACAGCAAACCTCCTTCTCTGCTCACATGAAGAAATCTGGAACGTATAAGTGCGTTCCCGCAAAGTTTATTTAAAGAAACCTTATATTTGAGCAGCTTCAAATACTAATAAGGGACAGGGCAAGACTGAAAGTGGTGCAAAATGTCTTTGGGTGAGACTGTAGCCTCCAGCACTGATACACTGAATTTGACAATGATAAAATGTTTCTCTGTATCATAATCAATGGCAAAATGGGAATTCTTCTGAGGACTAGCCAGGGAAGCTAGTTGCCTCCCATCCCAATAAGCCGGGTTCTGTGTATTTGAAATGTATCACTTGAGCTCATTGCAATGGAGTGTCAGGGGGGTTGATGTTGCCATTGCTGGTTCTTGTGCAGGTCCTGCACCCTGGGCTGGTCCACCAAGTCCAGATGGATCTGTTTCTCATGAAAATGGGCAGCCGCATCATTGGACTCCTCCCCGGGTTCAAGTGGCTCAGTTTGACAGAGATTGTGGAGGAGTTTGAGAAGCTTATGATGCAGCAGGTATGTGCCAGGCCATGCTCCCCAGCTAAACAAAACTGCCCTTTGTCTTGCTCTGGCTGCCTCTAACTCTGTTCACACCACTACATTTAAAATGGTTAGGTGAAGACTGGCTTGCTCTTTACTTCTGTTCTTTAGTCTAATCAAATCACATAACATTACTGTAGGAAAGCTTATACGCTCACAAAGTAGCAAAGCAATGAAAAAAAATCTTTACCAGATCTAAAATTACTTTTTAGACTTTGAAAATACCGTTTAGACTTTGAATGTGTTTTCTAGTGGACAGCCTGAACAGCTAGCTAGCCATAGTCAGAGTCCTTTTTGCAGCATTGTGAAAGGTGAACAGTGGTGAGACACCTCTCCTTAGGAAAGAATCTCTCCAAGCAAGTACTCAGGCATGTGGGTTTTTTCTGTAATTCTACATATATGTTTGCAGTCTGTACTCACTAGTCATGTTTGTTAGCACTGAGATAGATATTTATATATATATATAGGCATAAATAATGTTTTCACAGAAGTTAATAACACATTCTACTCTGTATTGTCATCAGACTCACAGTGCCAGTACAGTTTTGCAAACAGATCTGAAAACATCCTGATTTACTAATGTCTTCTAAAGACACTATCCTGGAACATTGCTACTATAAAACTCATAAAGATCTCACTGCAGGCCTAATTAGGCTTATGTTTCTATGAAATGAGCCATTATCTGCTAATTTCACTTTTGTGTCTAGATTGCAGAGTCTGAAGTCTGTAACAAGCTTTTGAAAACCTTAATTATTCTCTACAATTCCAAAACCTCTGCGCAGTAAATCCATCCTGGGAAATGTTAACTGTGGTCAGATGTGGCTCGAGGTCATTCGTACCAGTTTGGCAGAGCTTGGGTGGATGTGCAGAAGACTGAGAGTCAGGAGAACATCTGATAGGCTCATGGTAGCTTTTTCCTTTTGAATGAACAGGAAATATTCCTGGGGTATTCCCTGCTGCCAGACAAGTGTGGTGAGGCAAGGTTATCCTGCTTCCTTGAGCAGCAGCAGACAGTAGGAGAGATGCCCTTGTGTCAAGACACTGGATCACTGAAGAACCAGGGCCTGGACTTGGCATAGTGGATTATCTTGTATGAATTACATTAAATTTCTTCCTGCTACAGCTGCCTCTCTGGCAAGTGAGGCTGTGGCTGCAGTTCTTCTATCCTGTCTGCCTGCCTTGCCGTTTGGACAGCAAGCTTCCTTTCAGGATGGGATTCAGTTTAAGATCTTGTTGTATTTTTGAATATAACGTGGTCCTGGTCTATTTTGAGACACCATGCCTCTAGTAAGGCACCCATATTTCAAAGGTTGGACCTGGCTGTGCACCATCCATTACCCAGTCTGCTCCTCTTCCATCAGGGAGGCTGTGAGCCTGTAAAAAGCGCCACTCTTACTTTGTTTTCATTCTGGCTTTCTGACTGATTTTGTTGGTATTGAGTATTGCAATCCACACAGGCTCCTGAAGATCTAATCCTAGTTGATTCTCATTTCCAACCTGCTTTTCTGTTTGTCTCTTGAGATTGACTTACGCTATGAAGCCAGAAATCTGGAGCGCTTCCGACAGAATTTCCTAGATGTTGATTTTGTGAAGTTTCCAACTCCCCTTTGGCCCTTGGTAACAGCAGATGTTCTAGTGGAAACATTTGAGGTAAGAATTGCAGAGTGTGGGTGCAATGGTAGCAGTGAGAAAGCCCCAAGGAGACCATGGCAAGGAGGTGTTTCTTTTTGAGAAGGAGGAATCAGAGGCAGAAGGATGCTTTTTTTCTTATTTGCTTAAGGAGGTTGATGTCCTTCCTTAGTGTCTCTTCCACTCTTTTGTTTGCAAGCAGTGCATCCCTGAAGACAGGTAGCAGACAGCTGTGTATAGAAGTGAGCACTTGGTCTGAAAGCAAGCAGACCAGCAGTGGGTGCAGCCCCCTGTGCTTTGCAAACCAACACCATGCTTTACCTCTCCTCTGTGTTGGGTCAAAGCAAGGTGCTCAGCAGTCTGACACTTTCTGATCCCTGCCTCACTTCTCTTGTGGATGTTTGAGTCCCAGACCAAAGCTACACTCAGGATTAGTTTTCCTGCATGTGACCCTGGCAAGGGTGTGTCTGTCCCTGGAATACCGTCTGTCTTTCCAAGGAACAAACCCTTGGTTCTGTCATGTTCTCCATCACACTAGGTACAGGCTCTTTCTGCCAGGTCCTTTCTAGGGTATTATCATCACCTTCCCCCCACTCGTGGCACCCAGGAGAAGGTGTGTTTGAAGGTGGGATGCAGGGGGTGTTTGACTCCAGCTCTGTCTCTGTTTCAGGAGAGTGAGCCCATTTCACGCTACCTGCGCGTGGGGATTGGCACGGAGCTGCGGCAGAGACTGGCCAGGATGGGCATGGACATGCTGCTAAAGATGGTAAGCACCTGGCTGGGGCTGCAAGAGAAAGCTGTTTTCCTGCAGAAGCTATTCAGTTTGGATAGTAAGACAAAGAGAGGTTAAAGAGAGAACCTATTTGCTTCCTACCTGTACCTGGTCTGGGTAAAGCCTGGGCTGGACTTGGCCCTGCTTAGGCTTTGACACAAGCTCTGCCACTGCAGAGGGGTCATCTGCCTGCACACAGTAGGACTGGCCTGTGCACCTTGGTCAGCCTTTGCTCAGGACACCCACTAATCCATTCAATGAATATTCACCTATTACCCAAGTACCTTAAAGGGCAACATTATTAGCAAATGTCATGTGCTCTGCATAGATTGTGGATGTGACTCAGAGGGAAAACAATGAGCTGATTTCTTAATTTATCAACTCCTCTAAAACTGCCTTTTTATTAGGGAGACCTAAATCTGGAGTCAAGACAACAAACTTGGCCAGGTTCAGCTTCTGGCTATCTAGTTCTTCTGTAGCTGAAATAATCCCAAATAGTCTGGAAAGGAGTGTTGAGAGGGTGGTACAAGTGTCTTGTGAGGGGCTGTAAGAACCAGCAGGGAAGAGTTGCAAAAGCTCCTGGCAGTACTGAGTGTGTGGGCAGTGTGTGTCAGATGAAATGCTGCAGCATTATGCTAGGGCAATAGTGAACCTCCAGTTCTGGCTCCAGGTAGTATGACAGGCTCTGAAATAGCTTTTACCACTCAGAAAAGCAATGATGGAACAAGAATAGTTTCATGCTAAGATTGGTTTCAAATTTTAGGAGTAGGAAAGACTTAAAGGGTAAAGAAACAACTTTATGTCTGTAAGTAAAACAAATACCTCTTTCTCGAGTACTCTGCAGTTCTAGTCCCTTTGTGCCCAGGACCCTCCATTTCAAGGGCTGTAGTAGACCTAGAAGAGGTGCAGAGGAAGGCAGATAGGATGATTACTCGTGTGGAATGTCTTCCATACCAGAATGGTGAAATAATTTGGACTCTTAACTCTGGAAAGCAGAATGATGAGTAGCTTATCTCAGAGATTATGCAGTCACGAGTGCATGAGAATGAATATGGATCTATTGTGTAAGGTTTCTCAATAAGGAGGGCTTAAAATTGGCAGAAGTAATTTTTTTTCAGGCAACACCAAAACCATATTTTTTCACACAGCTCTAATTATTTACATGGCAGTTGAACAAATTCATAGGAGAAATCCATGAAATACAAAGATAATCTCCTTGGGGCAGGAAGTCCTGCAGTCGCAGGTCACCAGGAGGGTTGGGGCAGGGGAAGTACTGTTTGGTTCTTGTCTTCTTGCCAGTCCTTTTTGGTGCTCACTGCTAGCAGAGTCAGAGAAGAGCTACACAGATTCACTTCCTCTTCTCTTGTTTTCCTTACTTTTCAATAGAGTTGTAATGTAGGTTGGTGTCCTGCACTAGACAAATGTACCCATTCACTATAACCTTGTCACCAAATGGCAAACTGCCTATTCTTACTGCATTACCCTTTGCTAAGGCCCACCAATGTGCCCCAGTTTAGGGCCAATTGCCAAAGGGCAGTGCCATTCCCTGCTGGGACTCCTGGCTGTCCTACCTGACCTCTAGCAAATATTGGATCACTTCACACAGCTCTGCTGACTCCCCGAGTGCCCAAGCTGGTCTCCAGCAGAAGCCACCTGCTGTGGTGCTGCCCCATCACTGGTAATGACAGAGAACAGACCACAAACAACCCTCTGCCCTTTGCCTGGGGGCTTTTGGTGTCACCAGGTTTGCTTGGAATGAGCTGCTCTCACACTTACCTGTCCTCCAGATCTTCGTCGACAACTTCGTCCACGCCGACCTGCACCCCGGGAATATATTGGTTCAGGGCACGGCACGGCTGGAGCTGTGTGACAGCCGGGTGCCAGAGATGTGTGACAGCCAGGTGCCAGAGATGTGTGACAGCCAGGTGCTGGAGGTGCAGCCAGCCCTGCGGCAGCTGTGCCTGGTGCTGCTGGACGCAGGGATCGTGGCGGAGCTGCAGAGCGCCGACATGCAGAACTTCCGCGCCGTGTTCACGGCTGTGGTCCAGGGACAGGTGAGGCTCCTCTCTGGCATGGGGCTGGCTGGGGAAGGGAGGTGGCTGTGGAATCTGATGGCCAAAGTGAGAGTTTTCTGTTTCCCCTTGAAAGGAGCTAGCATCTTATCCCCAAACACAGGAATAAGTTGTTCAGCTGCAGCAAGGAGGCTGCCAGAGTGGAGCAATTTCAGTGCCCCAGGACCTAGAATGTGCCAAATGGGAAGTATTGGCTGCCCCTTCCTGGTTAGGAGTACTTCTGCTGCAAGTCAGGACTGCCTGGGAGCCATGGTTGCAGAATCTGTCAGGTTTTGCTGCAGAAGAGGAGAGAATGAGTTCACATCTTGATCTGCCCCACATGTTCCTCTCTGCAGCCTTGCTGCTGGAAGGCCCATATGCCCTCCTCCATTTTGCTGTTGTGTCAGCATCTATAGAGGAGAGAAGACAGGTGTGTGTGGAGGGGTCTGACCTCTACTAGGCTCCTCCATGTGAGGGGAACTACATTATCCTCCTCCCCCCATGAAACTTACTGTCAGATGGACTGGAGAACCCAGTGCTGGTGTCTCCTGTTCTCCTGTTCATTCTGGGAACAAGCATTGTGCTCCTACTTGCCTGTTGCTGTCTCTCAGCTGCAGGGTGAAGGAGTCACTAACAGAGCTCAAGAGGGACACATTTTGTCTTGGTCTGCTGAAGCATGCCAAAGAATCCATGCTAAACCCTGTGTCCAGGCCCATCCTGTGCTGCCGGGGCATTTCTCAGCTACTGAAAGCAAGAACTGCAAGCATCTGATTGCAAGTCACCAGTGACCAGGTTCTGGTTGTGCTGTTCCGCTTGTTTCTCAGGGGGAGAGGGTGGCAGAGCTGATCCTGCACCACGCCCGTGCCAACCAGTGCCAAGACATCGAGCGCTTCAAGGCTGAGATGGCAGAGCTTGTGACCAAGGTCCGGGGGAACACCATTGCCCTGGGCAAGGCAAGTGCACCCTGTCACAGTCCCACTTAGCTGCAATTCAGCACTGAAAACTGAAACAAAAAGGTTTTTTGATCAGCTGTTAAAATTCTCCTGTGTATTCCAGCTTCAGGTGGGAAATCTCCTCTCCAGTGTCTTCAAACTATTGATGACCCATAAGGTGAGGTCCTGTCCCTGTCTGCCTTTAATAGCTGGAAGTTCATCTGGGGAGGGAGAACTACTGCAAACATGAGGGGCTAACAAGGAGAGGGACTGACTTCTGAAACAAACTGCTAGGAGAGGAACTGCAGGAATGCATCCAAGTGTTGCAGGCATGCTGGCAGGGCTTATACACACTCTGCCAAGCCCAATTTCTGTGGGGTTTTTTTGTTTTGTTTTTTGTTTGGTTTTTTTTTTTTTTTTTGCCTCAATACTTCATTTAATGGTTGATACCGTCTACTAAAATGAGTATTTTTATAACACATAGTTTTTCCTACCTTTTTTATAGTCCCTTAGACTATAGATACCTCCTTGTAACTGATTATTCTGGGGACAAATTTCCACAGCTGCAAACAACTTTGGAATTCAAAAGACCTGTGGTGGCTTGAACTGGGGTTGTCAGCCACAGGGCTGCACAGTCCAACTGGTGGAGTTGCATTTTAGTTTCAGGTGTGCAAATGCTCTCCCCAGTCTCTTCCCTTCCCTCCCAGCTTAGGCAGAGCTGGTACTTTGGTTGAAGGGACACAGAAGAAAATAACATCCACTGAGTCCATTCAGTCTGTTGTGGTTCCAGGTGAAGCTCGAGAGCAATTTTGCTTCCATCATCTTTGCCATCATGGTTCTGGAAGGACTGGGACGTTCACTGGACCCTGAACTGGACATCCTGGAGGCAGCTAAGCCACTGCTCATCAAAACTGCAGCTTCTGCCCTCAAATAGACTCCTGTGGCTGCTGCCCTCTCCCTGTGGGGGTTTACCTGTGCTGTGCTGCCTGGGAGCTGACACAGAGGAGGCTGAAGGTGAGAAGTCACAGGTACCCCAGGGATGTGGTACACAGTGGCTGCTCTCCACTAATGCTGCCTTCAGTCATTTCAGCCAAGCACCAGGCATGGGATGATCAGAAGGTCTGTTCCAGAAAGCAGGAAGAATTTGCACAGTTGGACATTTCCCACTCATTGCCACAGGTCTAAGAGCTAATGTGCTCTGTTAGTTTTTAAAAACATCTTCAGAAAGATGTTAATTGATCAAGTCTGTTTTAAAATATATCAGGGTAAATATTTAATTTACTGACTTACCTGCACTGTGGTATGAGAAATTATGTTCTAGCATCACTCAAGCAACACATTCAGGCCGAAAAAGGCCAATAAACCTGTTTGTCTTTTGTACTTTTAACTTCTACTTTTGTTGTAGAAGTGTCCTAACATCCTGCATGTAGTGGTCTGCTCTTAGTCATTTTGGATGACAAAACCAGACCATTTAAATTTTTTCTCAAACTTCTGTACTCTAGTACATTATGATAGGAGTTTGGATTATAAACAGCATAATAAAATATCTACCTAGGCAGAAAAACCGAATTCCATAATAAAAAACAACTTCTGGGAATATTTGTCCTGGTCTTAATTTTTCTGTTTCTGAAACTTAAGAGGTTTCTTTTTTTCTGCTCTGTGTGATTTTCTCTACAACCCTCCCTGGTGCTCCCCACTGTACTCAAAACCTTAACTGATATGCAGATACTTAGGGTTTTTTTTCCCAGCAGGTTTCAAACCAGAGTCCAAGCATTTTCCTGATGGAACAAAATCACACTGCAAATGTTTAAAATCAAATAAAGCTAGAAGAAGAGCTGGATTACATGTGGCATTTACAGTCAATTATTTTAATAGCAGTATTAAAATGATTTTATGGCTGCATTTTAATAGTGAGAAATACAGTCTATGAATGATTGGAAATAATGTGGTACTGAATGTATTCCCAGACCTACCCTGTGTGAAACAGCAGTGGAGCAGGGTCTCTGCAGTAGTCTGTTCTCAGGTGGTTAAGCAATGAAGAGAAAGTGCATAAGCAGACAATCTGCTGTTTTATGGTGATTATAAAGCAATGATTAATAGCATATAAATGAAGTCTGAAAAATAAGTTTAGATTCAGCTCAATATATTTCATGTACTTTCCTTTAATCACTGCATATTCCATTTCCAAGTGCATAAGGATAAAAGCAGGAGCAGAGTTTAACACCTTATAAGTTTTAGGCTTGTTTCTTTAAGTCTAGTTAGAGTCATAAGCAGGCAGAGCATTGTCCTAACCAGCACAAGATTTTATGTAAAAGAGAGCTCAAACAAGAAGAGAAGCAAGCAAACCCCCCAAACATTATCCTGAAGAAAATCTCCATGTGCCACCAGCACCCACCCTCCCTCAGCAGGGTGTGTGCCAGGTCTGGGGCACAACCATCCATGTTCCTGCTGAGCAAATTCCAGCCAACTTTCCCAGACACTCAACAGAGTGGAAACTGGTCCAAATGATGGGATTTCACGTCTAAATGCAAAATTGTGCCTCACATGTAGTTTCCATAATCTGAAGCAAGTTACACTTTTTCCAGACCTTAACTCTGACATTTTGTTTGTTAAAGCCTTCACCTTCCATTTAAGTTCATCTTTTCCCTTTTTTTTTTCTTCAAGCAAAAATCTCAGGATGGCTCATGCACGTACGTTATGGATCCTAAAGTTTAAAAATACCCATTTTAGCTATTAAGGTCTCAGAGTAGTTTGTAAACATCTGGATGAGAGACCTAACTTGGTCTTTTTAGGGAAAAACTGAAGGCATAGCCTCTCTATTATCCCTGGAGGAATGCAGTCTGACACTGCTTGGAAACTGTTGGCCATTCAGATTTGGCAGGATTTCAAAGGAGCTCCCTTTTACAAGTTTTATTAATTTTACTTTTTTCTTTTTTTTTTTTTTTTAAGAAACTGCCATTATCACTGTTGCTGTATTCTAGAAGGAGGCAAAAATTTTTATAACATGCCAGAAAATGTGTATCATGTTTCTAAGTGTATACAGAATGTCAGGCCAAATTTAAATTTTGTGTCTGGTTTGGTTCTAGGCATTACTTGAAACAAGATATCACATATATTGTATTCATTTTAGCATAATTCTGTGTAAAATAAAGATATTTCCATATAGCTCTGACTGTTTCAGCAAATAAATTGTGCTATGTCCATTCTCCTTTCCTAAATACCTGGCTGAAATTTCTGGTTACCCAGAGCTGATCATATATATGATCATATATATACATCCGTTGTATTTTAGCATAATTCTGTGTAAAATAAAGATATTTCCATATAGAAATATAGACTGTTTCAGCAAATAAATTGTGCTATGTTCATTCTCCTTTCCTAAATACCTGGCTGAAATTTCTGGTTACCCAGAGCTGATCAGTGCATGTCCTGTGCCACAGCCACGGGGAATTTTGTACCTCAGATGATGTGAGGAAGAGGGAACACTTCAGGATGTGACAAGCTTAACCTCCTCCTCCTCTCCTTTGACACCTCCACTGACCACAGTGCAGTGCACTAAAAATCCCTCCTCTGTGATGCACAAAGTGCCTTGAGATGTGCCCTGCTGCTCCCTCTCAGGGAAGGGGGAGCCAGTGACCCCAGGAAGAAAGGCAGGTGAAGGACAGAGCAGTGGCAGTGCACACTGGCTGCAGTGAAAGGGAGATTAGAGACCTCTCCAGGAATCCAAATGCCACCTGTCACACTCTGCACACTGACTCACAGGTGACAGGACACAGCAGGTCTGTGAACTGCTCCAGGCCCTGCTCACCCACTGTGCAGCTTCCTTACTCGAGCAGGGATGCCCGGAGCAGCAGGAGCTTCTGTTCCCTGAGGTACTGCTGGAGGGCACGGAGCTTCTGCCCTTCTTTTTCCATCTTCAGATGAGAACTCTCTCTCCTCTGGAACACTCTCACTTTGGCAGCCTGGTGCTGCTTTTGCTGTTTGTCCTGCTCCTGGGATTCTTGTTCCAGCACTTCCTGCCGTGACTGCATTCTGCTCCTCAGCAACTCCTACACAAAGACATTCAAAACTGTACAGACAGCCTTCATGCCAAATTTCATCCTCACTCTTCATCTCTGTCCAGCTCTGGGGCCCCCAGCATGGACATGGATCCGCTGGAGTGAGCCCAGAGGAGGATCACAAAGATGTTCAGAGGGCTGGAGCACCTCTGCTATGGAGCCAGGCTGAGAGCTGGGGTTCTTCAGCCTGGGGAAGAGAAGGCTCTGCAGAGCTCTTAGAGCACCTTCCATTGCCTAAAGGGGCTACAAGAGCTGGAGAGGGACTTTTTACAAGGGTGTGGAGTGATGGGACAAGGGGGAATGGCTTTCAACTGAAAAAGAGTAGGTTTAGATTAGATATTAGGAATAAATTCTTTCCTGTGGGGGTGGAGAGGCACTGGCACAGGTTGCCCAGAGAAGCTGTGGGTGCCCCATCCCTGGCAGGCTGGACAGGGGGTTCTGAGCAGTCTGGTCAAGTGGGAGGTGTCCCTGCCCATGGCAGGGGGGGTGGGACTAGATGGGCGCAATCCAAGTCATCCTACAGTACTATGATTCTCACTAGTCAGAAATGGATATAATCCATTTTATTTTTGCATGAAGAAAGACTTCTTCTGTGGCAGAGATAAGGAATTTTACTTTCCACTTTTCACTTTATCCATGTGCCAAAAAAAGGTTACCCTTTTTTATCTCTAAATGATACAGTTCTATTGGATGTAAAACAGGTGAAATATACAAATACTCCAGATATTTGTATATATGTTTCCACTGCTGGAAACGTGGCAGAAGTAAATAACTTCTGGAACTGTCCTTACCAGACTTTCTTTCTCTTGTTCAGAGCTCCTTTTGTTGCTTTCTGCCTGCAGCTCCTCTCTCTGCAAACGCCGTGTCTTTAAGAACTGAAGCCTCTGCCTTGCCTTCCTCTCCTCCTCCTCTTTAAAGAAGGATTCCTTCCTGCTCCTCTCAGCCCCAGCAGCCTGGAGCAGTGCCATGTGCTGCAAAGCTCTCTCTTTGTGCTCCAGCTGTTTCTCCAGCGCTTGCAATGTTCTCTGACGCAATCGCCGCCTGTTTCCAAAACAAAATTTCTCAAATTTCTCATAAAGAAAGAGCAATAAAAAAGAAAGACAGTGCATAAGACACAAAGCAGATATTTTGGCAATCTGTGTTCAGTTAACATTCCAGGACTCTTTGTTAGGTTATGAGGATTAAACCTGTGTCCAGAAGAGAGGTAGCAAAAGCCCCAAACGGGCTGGTGCCTGATGTCAGCACTTTCGGTCTGAGAGCAGGACTGAAGGGAATTTGCCCTTGGAGATAATGCAGTGTACCCACTCCCTCACACCTCCAGCACCAATTCCATTCCCAGTAGGGAACCACTGTGACCCCTGTGCAGAGCCCAGCAAAAAGCACAAGGTGGGAGAGCAGCAGGGAGCAGATGTTACCAACCTTCCAACCTCTAGCACAAAAAGCAGTCAGTTCCCAGCATCACCTCAGGCTGTCCCTGCGCAGCTGCCGGCGGGTGCCATCTGCCTCTTGCTGCTGCTCCCTCTTCAGCTTCCTCTGTTCTTCTTGCCACCTTCTGTGCTCAATCTTGGCTCTGCTGAAGTCCAGCTCCTTCCACCTCTTCTGAGATACACCACTAAGGATTGATTTCTACAAGAAAAAAAAGCAAACTGAACCCTTAGTCCCAGCAGTGTATTTTTCTAATGCACACTGTAAGCACACAAAACCAGAACAGCCCAGTTTTAATGTCACTCCTGAGGCTTAGAAGCTACAAAGGCTCACAAATACTGTAGTGTTGATTCCCATCCATGAAAATACTGAGGATGATGCTAAAACCTTGTATGTAGAAAACATTAGGCTTAATCAACAGAGGTACCTGAAAATCCAGTCTTAAAGAGTTCTCCATAGGTCAGTAGGTTGTGCTGTTCTGGTGTTGAGCCAATGCTTAAAACTCCCCAGTTTTTGGGTCAACTTCTGGATTGGATGGAAAATCCAGGTTCTGACCATAAAACATTATAAATTCCTCACTAGATTTTATTAGCAAGAGAAATACCTGCCCCCATCTGGCCAAACCCAGAACATTCCTGAGTTCTCTGCAGGTACTCCAACTCTTCACCTTTTGTTGTCTGAGATTTCCACCCATTCTCAAGCAGTCTTTGTGTTTTCTTCAGCAGTAGTTTCATTTCAATGAAAGAATGCTGATTTATGTTTTTAAATGCACTGTGCCATGTACAGAGATGAAGGAGCACCTACAAGGCCTCTTTTCACAGCCATAGTGAAATATTTATTTGTTTTTGTACTCCTTACAGTGCCCTTTATGAGGGAGGTGCAAGTAAACACCACCAAACCTTTAGACATGTATTCCAGTTTACATTGCTAGAGCTGTGTGGAGCTGGAACAGAGTTCTCCCAACATATTTTCCTCTGTCAAATGCATCCTCCTTCCTCCTATTCCCAAGTGCAGTTAGCATGTTCCTATACCACAAGCTGGAAAACACTATAGGACTTTCAAATAATGTCCCTGCCAGTCTTACACAGCATTTTGACTGGTTTCTCTTAACACATTGATCTGTAAGTCTTCCCAGGGGCTGTAAACAGCTTTGTTCTCCAGTGTATTGCTATTCTTAGCAAAAAAAGTACCTTGTGGGTGTGTTTAATGACACTCACAAGGAGAGATCAAAGAAGGAATCAAAGGTGTTTTGTAGTTAGGAGGTGAACAAATGATGTTTTCCAGCAGGTAAAGTACCAGCCTAAGGATCAGGAGACTTCTAGCTCCACTCCTGCCCTAACATGCACTCCTTGCTGTGGGCCTTAGATGACTGCCTAACCTAAACTTTCTCTTTTTTGCTTTCAGTATCTGTAAAAGAGGATTTTTTTTTTTGCTATCTAGTAGAGCTGGCTGAGAAGCTTATTTAGAAGAGATTATATCATACAAAAACACTCCGTCAAAAGTGCTGAGCAAAAATACCACAAGCGCCCTGTCCTGCACAATGTGGGCTCCCAAGTGGAGTCCTTAAGTTTCTATTTATGCATAACCATTATTCTACACAGGCATAATTTCTGTTGCAGCAAAAACCTTTGTGGAAGATCAAAGGAGAGAACATTCTCACATGACATAAACAAATCTCCTCATCCTAAGAATTAAACCTAAATACTCACTGTGATGCTTTTGTCTTTCAGAAGCTTTGGGAGATGTGTGGATCTCCCAGGCAGCAGGTGGGTGGTACTGTGGGGTCTCTGCCCACAAAGGGCTGATCTGATGGTCAGGCTGTCTTTCTCCAGTGATTGATTCACCTGGGCAAAGAAGCTCTGGCACCTGAAAGGAGCCAAAGCACTGCTTCCCATGGAAGGGCTCCTCTGGGAATGCAGGACTGGAGCTTCTGCCACTCTGGTCTCAAAAAGGCCTTTCAAATAAATTAGGGCAAGGACATATGAGAATATAGGAAGCTTATAAAAAGAAATCAAATTAAAAGAACAAAAGGTCTGCTCATATGAAATATACTCAAGCAAGGATTTTATAGCATTTTCCTATGAGGAAGTGGGACAGTTTTTAGTCTCCACAAAAGAGGTTCCAGCTTTTCAGAAACAAGCTTGCCATTCCATTTAGGCAAGAGTTTGGCCTGGGAAACTGAGTTTTGCCTGGTGCATCTTACAGCTATTCAGGCTAAAGGATTGTTTACATGGTATCTCACAGACTGGCATGAACCGACTGCTCTGAGATGAGTAAAAATGATAGGGCAATGCCTGAGCTCCACATCCTGCTGAGAGACATTAGCATGGGCACAACCCTGCTAACACAGTTTTTGGGTAACTGAGAACAGGAGCAGAGTTTGCTCACACCTTTCTGCTAAGGACAGGGCAGACCTGAGTGGCAGCTGTCACATGGAATGGTGCTGGAACACCAGCTGGGAGCAAATGTGCACTCCTGTTTGACTTTTCATTCTCCCTCCTCCAGCAGTGTCACAAAGCAATAATAGAGAAAAGTTCAGGCTTTCAGAATCCTCTCTTAGATGTCTGCAATTGTCACAAAGCTGAGAACAGCAAGAGATTGATCAAAATTATGATCCAGCCCCTTTTGCTGTTCAGGGAACAAAATTCCACTCAGTGACATTATAAAGCAATAATTTTCAGCACAGGTAAGAGGATTGTTTTGCAGAAAAGTCCTGGTGAAATCTTGTTGCTATACACAGTCACTGTTAATGTTAAAGATTAATTTTTAAAGTAAGGAATTTTTTATTTATACTGAGCTCTATGATATAGGTTAAAAACCCCCAAAAGCTCCTACCGCAGTAGCTGAGCTGTAAAAGCCAAAAAATCTCAAGTTCCATCTGAAAATTTTT